GGTACAGAGAAGACACGGTACAGAGACTCACACGGTACAGAGATGGACACGGTACAGAGAAGTCACGGTACAGAGACACGGTACAGAGACTCACATGGTACAGAGACTGACACAGTACAGAGACTCACACAGTACAGAGACGGACACGGTACAGAGACACGGTACAGAGACTGACACAGTACAGAGAAGACACGTTACAGAGACGGACACAGTACAAAGGCAGTGCACGCACACCATCCAGTTTCCCCTCAGATAACACTTTGCAAAACTTCAGTGCGACTAAAGCTGCTGACAGCATTCCTTTCTGTTTCTGTGTAAGTGTCTTCTTTGCTTCTGGGACAGATGCCTGAGAGTGCAGTTGCTGGACCACATGATTATCTTGTTTAGTTTTGTAAGACACTGCCAACCTGTGTTCCAGGGTGGCGGCAGCGTGTCACCTTCCCGTCCACAGCGTGAGTGGTCCAGCTCCTCCGTGTTCTCACCAGCATTCGGTCTTGTTGCTGTTTGTTATTTTAGCCTTTGTGACAGGTGCAGGGCGGTGCCTCACGGTGGCTTTAATCCGCGTGTTCCTGATGGCTGGCGATGCTAAGTACCTTTCGATGGCTTCTTTGACACCTGCTTGTTGTCTTCCGTGAGATGTCTGTTCATGTCCATTTTCTCATTGGATGGTTTGTAACTTTCACAATTGAGATTTGAGAGATTGCGGTATGTATTTTGGATAGCAGTCCTTTGTTATGTACGTGGTTTGTAAGAGTTTTATTCCAGTCTGTCTTTTCCTCCTCTCCACATGGGTTTTTGCAGAGCAAAAGTGTTTCGTTTTGATGACGTCCCTCGTAACTGCTCACTAACCTGTGATTTTCCCTCCAGAATTTCCCAGGAATCTACCCACCTTCCCGATCTCCACAGATGCATCTTCCAGGGCACTGCTCACATGCTAGCGGCTGGCACCCCTTCCCCTCCCCCGGGGGTGTTGGTGGAACTCACGAGCAGCTCTCTCCAGAGACGGCCTCCTCAGCAGCCCAGGCCTCCCGTGCTGGCTCCTCACCTTCTCTGCACTCCCCATGGGGGTGAGGTCTCCTGCGGATTTGGAAAGAGACATGGAGATCTGCTCTTCGTCAGCATCACATGGGCTGTAGAATGTGGGGGCTATCGAGTCTGGTGCTCATTTGGAATTTTCAGTTTATTATCCTCAGTTTTATTTTGAGGGACGGCAGAACAGTGCATATCACTTCTGAGGAGCTTGTTCTCTCCTTGCTTTGAGTGATGTACAAGTTCTTAGGTATTAGGAAGGAATAATTCTGTTATGACTGTTTTTTAACAGTAGTGGAGTAGTGCATTTAGGGTTACAAGCCGTTATTTGTTGGCTTTCTCTTCTAGCTCTTTCCTCCATTCTCACCCTCCTGGAGCAGGGAACTTCGTTAGAGAAGTAGTGAGACTTTTTCTGTTTCAAAAACTTAGGTCAGTGCCAGACCCATCAGCATGCTGTGTTTGTAGGCATCAGAAACGGGCCCAGCTGATTGGGGTCAGTGATTAGAAGCTCATGGAATTGAAGAAAAAAAGGCGTGGAAAACCAAATAACCTAGAGTCTTCGTTTCAGCTGAAGGAGGGCCAGGGACAAGGTGGTGACGCAGACGCCCTGGGGACCCAGAGGCCAGGCTCAAAGGATGGAGGCTTGCTAGTTTCTTTTCTAAAAACCATGGAGAGTGTATCTTTCTCGCTGTTTTCGTCAAATCAGAGGAATCCACACACCAGTGTCACACATGTACCCACACCCACAGCGGCCTCAGACATGCATGCAGTCACAGAGGGAGGCCACGCCGTGCACGCCGGCAGCCACAGCTGGAGAGTGAGGCCAGAGGAGCCAAAGTTGCGTCTTTCTCTGTTTTCTTCATTTCAGACCATCTGACTGAGCAGCAGGTCAGTGAGAGCAGATCCACTTGCACCTGCCCGAGAGGCACAGCGCATTTACGCCTCAGCGCCCGACCGCGGGCTGTGTTTCCATCCACCGTCTTCGCACAGCACAGGAGGCTGAGTCCATGAACAGATGGGACTTGCTCTGCAGCATTGAAGCAAGTGCTGTGCTCGAACTTGTGCCCTCACGGAGGAGAGCAACCGCTAACGCACGTGTCTGATAGCTCTTGGTTCACTTCTGATCTCTAATCATATTGTCCTCCAGTTTTCCAGGAGGCCATTAGTGTCAAGAAGGAGACATTTCCTGTGGCAGGAAACAGGCGTGACCCGGTGGGCAGCTTGGAGTCGGAGGCTGCTGGGTTTTCTGCCAGGCAGGCTCCCTGAGGCCCAGAGGCAGAAGCGCTGCTGCCCGGGCCAGCTGGTGCGGGCGAGTGATGAGTCTGCTTACCACTAGCAAGAGCTCTTTGACTTAAGAAGACATTTAATAATTATTTTCAGTGATTCAGAAATACAGTCTTCAGTGCTCTCGGGGAAGACACTTGCAGGAGAGGGATGGGAATGTGGAGGGCCTGGTGGCCCCGCAGCTGACCGCACCTGATCCCGTGGCAGCTGGGCGAGAGCCCACGGTGACTACGCATGCATCTCGTGCCTTGTGGCACCGTCTCATTCCGTCCACCCGGCTCTTCCTTGTTAGAACCCTCATGGTGTGTCCTAGTGACCTACGATACTGGTATCCTTACAGGAATGCCTTTCTGGCAGGTGGGCTTTTCTAGTAATCAAACAAAAGTGCAGGAGTCTTTGTTTTTCTTAAAAAGCCAACGGATTTGTCAGCACTGGGCTCGCGTGTGCACGGGAAGGCCAGGCTGCAGCGGAGGGCACTCTCCTGGCCCCGCAGGCCCCTGTTGCTCCCCTGTTGCTGGAGTCGGAATCCACATCCCTGGCAGCAGTTCCCCTCCCTTTCCAGCACATTCTGCCGCCCCTGACGGCTGCAGCAGACCTGTAAGAAGACATTCCTGTCTCTCACCTTCTCCCAGTGACTGTCCACTTCTTTCCTTGTGCAGCTGACCTGGCGGAGGCCGTCTGTGTTTCTGTGTTTTCTTACCTCCTCCTCCTGGTCAACTGCTCCATCCTAGGGCTCCCAGTCCTCAGCCCAGCCAGCCTCAGCCCGCGAGTGGCCCCCTCCCACATGCTTGGCCCACGTGCTCTTCTTGCTTAGCCACCAGTGACCCGCATGTCTCCAGGTCCTCCTCTGGCGGGTGCCACCGCCTCTCAGCAGCATCAGATGCTGGTGGGGACCCCCTCTCCTCTGGCTTCCGGGTAGTGCCCTCCCTGGCTGTCTCATCTGTCTCGGCTGTTCCATATTGGTTTTCTTTCCAGATGATGCCTCTCCTGCCTGGGTGTCGGGCGTGCCCAAAAGGTTCATCCTGGGCCCACCTTCTCATGTCACCATATTTATGGTGAACCCCAGATGGCGTCTCTAGAATATTCCCCTCTAATTTCTCTCTAGACTCTGAATACAGTGGGCTCTGGAAGGCTCCTCGGATGGCTCTTGGGTGGCATGAGTTCAGCAAGGCCACTAGTGAGCAGTGGGCCTCTGTCTATACCTTCCCGTGTCCTGCCTAATGAGGGGCCCACAGTCCCCTGACTTGCGTGGATCCAGAGGCTCCATCCTTCAGGCCCTTTTCCTTTACTGCCTTCAAATTCCAGGCATCACCAGCCTGGCCCCATTGCCTCCGAAATGCCCCGGCCCCCACCTGCTCCCTGTCCACAGCTCCACCCTGCTGGACACAGGCACTCAGCAAACAGCTGCGTGGGTTCCTGTTCTGGCATACTGGAGATGGACTCCCTGCAGAGGCCACTGACGGCCACCGATCGTCACTGAGCGGCGCTTGTACGAGGTCAGTGTTCACAGGAGAAGCAAGGAGGAGCCTCAGCTGTCTAGGCACTGGACCGTTCAGTTGTTACAAGCCTACGTACATCTTATGAAACAGTAATCATATTGTAGATGCGGATTTCATCCTCACAGTTACTTTTGTGTAATTACGGAATGCAAGGTGATTGCTGAGATTCAGCCATGCTACAGTCACTGCAAATATCACTAAGAAGGCTCCCCACCTCACGTGCTTTCCTTATTAGGAAAAACATGTCTGTGATTTAAAACCGTGTCATCTTACGTGGTGTGATGTGAGCCAGGCCCATCCTGGCCCCTTTACGTTGGCTCCTGGAGAGTGTGGGGCAGCCGGGCTCGCCCCATAGCCTCACACAGAGCACTGGGCGTCACTCACCGAATTGGGTCTTACTCACGGCAGCAGGGCTCAGGGCATTGGGTCTTAGTCACTGCGCCGTGCCCCTTGCTGACCCGCCGCTACATGACCAAAGTCCCCAACTTAAACAGGAACAGCCTGGGTGTGCTCAGAGGCTGTGCTGGGGCTTCGGGCAGCGTCTGCCTCTGTACTCCCCCCGCCCCGCCCTGCGTGCGTTGTTTGCCGTCAACTGTAGACCTGCAGACTTCACTTCATTTTTCTCTTACATTATTCACTTTGGAATACAATTTGGGCATTTATATTTAAACAGAGCTGCCATTGAAAGTCGTCTGTGTAAGCAAATTAGGCCGTGTTGGTAATAGCTGTGGGGTTCAGCTCTCCTGGAGTTACTTAACATTTCTCAGCCAATAGGTGAGTTTTGGAGGAGGAATGGGCAGTCTCTTTAGGGACAATGGATTGAGGCTCAGATTTACAAGAACCCAAACTTGTTTTAAGACAGGATCGTTCTAAGCTGTTACATTCCTCTCAGTTTTCAGATGAAGTGGTTTCTGTTGAGATCTCCTCCTCATGCTTCAGAAATCATGCCGTTCATGCCCCTGCAGGGCGAGCTCTGATCCGAGGACTTCCAGCTCCTGCTGGGCTCTGCACACGACGCTCCTTTATCCGACCAGGAAAGATGCGTGGCCCGCAGAGAAGGGGCTGGCAGCAGCAGAGCTGAGGGGGTGTTGCTGGTGCACCGCAAACTAGGAAAGGGCCCAGGACCCTGAGCTGCCCCCAAGGCAGGGGCTGACTGACTTTCTGCCTCTAACAGCACCAGCCTTCTTTATGGCTGCGGGTTCAGGGCCCAGGTGGGCTCTGATGTCTGAGGGGTGGAGCAGGGCTGCTGCAGCAGGGAGGTGCTCTGAACCCCCTGCACCCAGCCCCGCCCTGATCAGGGCCCTGTCCCGCCGGTGGCGTGGTGGGCAGCTGCCGGCTTCTTGCCGTTTCACCCTGACCTTGTGCCGACATTGCCATTGCTTCTCTGTCTTCTCATCTGTTCCTGAGTTGGTCCCCAAAGTGAGCTGTCCTTCTGCACCTGGCACAGCTCCCAACTGGCAGAGCTTCCAGCTGGGGCAAGAGCTCTGTTCTCCCTGCAGGCTCTTGCTTCACATTCACTGAGGAATTGGAAGGCAGCTTGCAGGGCTCTCCTGGAGGTCTGCCACCAGGCGCCTGCCTCTGCCTCTGCCAGGCATGGGCTTCCCTTCCTTGGGATTCTGGTGAGGGGTTGGCGTCCAGTCCCCGTTTCCTCTCTGCTTTGTCCTTTTTTTATGTGCATCAGTCAGGACAGTGTTGACCACAGGTGGCAGCAAATCTGACTCAAACTTCAGGATACACAAAGGTGATTCGTGGGTTCTCTAACCCTGCAGGCATGGGCTGGTCAGGGCAGACGGGGCACGTTGGGAAGCACCTCTCAGCTCTGACCCGCTGCCTGCACCACTGTCAGAACAATGTGGCTCCCTGGCCCCCGGCCACCCCTTCCTCATCCCAAGCAGGTGGTGTAAGATTCTGTGGCCCTTCCCCAGCCTGAGCCCTGCTGCCTCTCACCTCCCCCGATGGTGCCACTGCCTGACCCTCACAGAGGCTGGAGAAGAGAAGCCCTGCTGGGTCAGACCCAGCGATGGGAACCTGCTCAGTGGGGAGCCCAGGGGAGTGGGAGAGAAATCTCCCGGTACAGAGATGCTGAGCAGCTGGACAGTGGCCGTCCCCCACGCAGCTCCTTCCCTGCTTTATGGGCATGGCTGGTGAGATGCTTGTGGTCTCCGGAGCTCTTTTGGGGCCACAGGCAGCTCTGAAGGTGGAGCCTCTGGGAGGGAACAGGGAGAATCACCTTCCCCAGCAGAACTTTACAACTGGCCACATTTCCTTCAGATATAATTTTAACAGCATTCTTGAGGTAGAGTTGATACACACAAACCCGCATGTTTTAATGTCTACGGTTTGATGTGTTCAGACATTTGCGAACACTGATGAAGCCATCACTGTGGCCAGGGTGATCGTGTCAGAAATGTGTTCTGATGAGATGCAGCTTCCAGGTAGAGCCTGAACCTTCTCTGCTTCTGCTGCAGTTTTCCCAGCCACATGTAACTCCCACTGCGAATTTGGTGTCTGTCTCTCCTTTGCAAATTCTTACACTTCTGCTGTATATGAGGGTGTTGATAAACCATGTCGAGAGCTGCTATTTTGATTTTAACTCTCAATAACAACAGCTACGATGAATAAAGTACAGCTTCATACACTCACATGGGTAAGTCTCAAAAACAAATTTTCCCCAAAGGGGCAGTATTTCGTTATATGTATTTTCTACATTAATTTAGTAGTTTTCTTCCTGGTGGGTCTTTAGCTAGTTTCAAATATTTCATTTTTATTATTGGTACTATAAACAAAGCTGCCATAATCCCACTGGTGTGTCTCTGTATACACATGTGAGTTTCCAGGGTGCCTGCCTGGGCATGTGGCCGGGGACAGGACCATGCAGCAGGATGGCCGGTGTCTGCCTGTCACTCTCCAGAGCGGCCACATCAACTTATGATCCCACCAGCAGCACCAGCAGTCAGAGCTGCTCTGCATCCAGCACCACCCACCTCAGACTTTTAATTTCTGTGTGACATAGCGTCCCGTGAAGGTATACTTGGCATTTTCGTGGCTGTGGGTGGCGTTGAGGGTCTTCTGTGTTCACAGCTCACCCTAGGCTGGAGATGCTCCTTCAGCCCATGGGGGCAGACTTCCAAAGGTGCCCACAGGTCTCATGAACCTCAGGGACCAACTTCCGAAGGTGGCCACAGCCTGTCTGGACCAGAGTCCCAGCCAGGCGGCTTCACCCTGGCTCTCCATTCCGGGCCCTGGAAATGTTTATCTGATCAGGGTTATTGGTTTGGGGGTTACATTTAAAATGCCCTCTTAAAAAGAAAGGGGAAATGGAGGGGAAGGTGTTTGTGTGCTCAGTGAGTGTAAGAAAAGCATCTTCCTGAGATCAGGGCCTGGGGAGGTTTGGGCTCCACTATTCCATGTACGCACTTCTCAAAGGGAGTCTCGAAGGGGACGATGTGGAACAAAGGAGGCCAGGAATGGGATGCGCTGACCTTCACCTCCCGGGGCAGCTTTGGGCATGAGCGGGCAGCTCCCAGAACTCTCACCTCCCGGGGCAGCTTTGGGCATGAGCGGGCAGCTCCCAGAACGCTGCTGCCCACCCTGGTGGAACTGGCTCTCTTCCATGGGGAACGAGCTCTGGGAAGTGTGAGAGACCCACACGTGTCCTACCCCGGACAGCTCTAGAGCAGGCTGTGATGTGGATCAGCCTTCTGATAGGAATGGAAGCTATAGAAGGAAGAGTGCGATGGACCCTGGGAGGGGCTGAGATCGTCCCCGAGGGGCCGTGCCTCTAGTTGAGAGTGTGATTACCTGCGAATCCTCCCTCCAAGATGTATTATGGAGGCCTGTTGTGGAGTTTGTCTTATTAAAACAACATTTTCCCCATTTGAAAGCCGTTTGGGAGAAAGATAGAAAAAGATTGGGAGAGAGAAAAAGAGAGAGGCGTATTCATCATTTACCGGTATTGACCATAAAATCTTTTGGTCATAGGCTACAGTCCATAAAGCAGCTTAATAAACTAGAAGGAAGGTTTTTTCTGGCTGCAGAAAACTGCATCTCCTGAGAAGTGGCCCTGGGAATGAGTACCAATTAGGACGGTTGGTCCCGGGCCACTGCCCATCCCTCCACTGCTGTACGAACATCCCCATCGAGGCTGGTGCCCAGAGCCAGCCCGCATGAGTCCTGGTGCAGTGAAGGGGTCCGCACAGGAGGGTCTTTCTGGAGCCCTGGCACTCAGCTCCTTTCTTCTCACGTGGAGTGTGAATAGCATGTGAAGATGCAGTCTGTGAAGACCTTGGAGGAATTCAAACCGAATGATTTATAACCCACCTGTTCTGGGGGCAAGAGGCCCTGGGAGAGAAGAGTCCAGAGAAGGTCTGAATGGGTGGAGGTGGGACTCTGACCCGGGGCTGTGGAGGCCCCTGTGATGCTGGCTGGAGTGATTGCCTCCTGGGCTCCCACCCAGACTGCACCTGGGATACCTGTTTCTTAACAAAATCAAAGCTTACACCTCAGGAAGCAAGCGGGACATGGATGCAACTGTGGCCTCAGGAGGAGAGGGGCCCAGGGGGCCTGAAGCCCGCAGCCCGACTGTTCTGAGTGGGAACCAGTTGTAGCTCAGCTCTCCGTGGATTCCTGTGCGTGGACAGTCACTGCGCGGTGAGGCTTGCAGAGGATTGGGACACCAGGGAAGGAGAACACTGATAGACGTTGGATTGCTCACGCTGTCCCAGGCATGGGATGAAATGAGGGGAGATGGGCCATGGGCAGCAAGGTGTGAGTGACTCTGAGTTGAGGAGCTGACCCTGGACTGGAGCTGGTCACGCTTGACCCAGGGCAGCCTGAGTCTGCAGACCTGCCCCGCGCCTGTATCTCAGCCACTAAACTGTGTGAAGACTTCCTTCTCAGGCTTGTACAGGTGGATGGGATGCATCTGAGTAATCTAGTGGATTGAGAAATGCTTTTGGATCACAGGAATCTTGGAAGGGGACTGACCTCCAAGCTGGACAGGATGGAGAGGAGGGCTCAGATGGCCACTGAGTCCAGATGGACACGGCGCCATGATCGAATATCGGAACAAGGGTGCATCCCTTTCTCCCACTGCCTCCACCGGCTCTGGGTTCAGACCCCACTCCTGCCTGGAGAATGGCAACTGTCTCTTTGTTGGCCCCTCTTCCACCTCACCCATCTGTTTCTCAGGAGGTAGACACGCCAAGGAGGGGGAAGACGGGCTCTGCAGTCCTCACACCTGTCCGCCGTGGGCATCTCCCAGGCAGAAGGGATGTGAACCACGCTCCCCGGACAGCTGAGCGCAGTGTGCTGGCCAGTGAGGTCCATGCTGGACATGCCGCTTGTCAGTCACAGCTCATGGGGGCCACAGTTCCCACCAGCACTAGGGCAGAAATCCTGGAGTTTGGTTCTCATTCCATGGCAAGCCACATCACTCTCTGGCAAGGACCTGAGGTCCTCCTGTCTAGGTCTGCTCCCTCTTCCTGCTAAGTGATTTTATAAACAGCCACTGCTGCTTTCTTTGGTGGAAAACTTTGGGATGTGGGATGTAAAATCACTGACCGTGTTGCTGCCACTCCTGCTCTGGAGGCTCAGGGCCCGTCTCGGCCGCTCTGCTGGACCCTTGGCTGGACTCATGGGATGGGTCTTCTGGGTTGTTGGAGACTCAGTCCATCCATCCATGTTACATGGATAGAGTGAGGGAGTCTCGAAGCCCCCTCCTCCTAGGACGCCTTTTATGGACCATTTCCATCCTCTAATGGAACATTTGCTGTTGGGACCTGGTCACCCCTGTGAGACTCAACCTCATGACAGAGCTCAGAGCTGTCCATGCTGTGATGTTCTCCCTCCCCCACCCCAACTATTGCAGGTCTCAGACCAAATCTTGCATGTCGGTGGCGTAATTATAAAGAGACTTGAAATGTCAGGACCCGTTGTCAGGAGCCCTAGCCTCTCAGGGCGATGCCCACAGCCCCCACACCCCTGGGAGTGCTTCCTCCAGTGACCTGGGCTGGGATTATGTCCTTAGGAGGGGAAGGAGTCCCATGCCACATCCAGCCTGGCTCTTGAGAACTTTAGACATGGGTCCTCTTGGAACCAATAGCAATCTGTTACCTGCTGCCCCTTCACCTACTTACCCGGTGGTCATCTCTATGTCCACAAACAGAATCCAGCTCCACAGAATAACAAAGTCCTGGGGTAATGGCAGAGGTGGGACACAGCCAGCTGCATGTTCTCGAGCTATAATACTGAACTTAGGTGGGAGAGGGCTGGAGGAGGAAGGACTCAGCCCTGGGCGGGTAAGGGGAGGGTGCGGAGTGAATATGCGGAGGGGCATCATTCACTCCACAGTCAAATGAGATAATTTTATGTTAACCCTACAAAGTGGGTCCTGTTGTTTCCACACCAGGAAATCAAGTTCAGAGACAAGCTTTGTGCCCGAGGTCACAGAGCTAGCACACTGCTGAGCTGGAATCTGCCTCCTCCGTCTGTCTGGCCTCAGTCCTTTTCACAAGGCCAAGGACCTCCTTCCTGGGAGAAGTTCTGTAGGGGTGGATGTCTGTCTCTTGTTTCTGGTGCCTCACCAGGGTTTGGAATGCTGCTGGGACACAGCAGGGGCTCAGTAACCCGTTTTAACATGGTAAAATAAACAACAAGAGTAAAAATGGTACACACAAAAAATACCCATTTAATGCAAAAGAAGGTAGTGACAGAGAAAGAGAGGAACAAAAAAGAGAATTGCTTCTAAGTAAAATGTTTAAAAAAGAAGAGAAGGCAGACACAAAGTGAATAAAACATATCATGGTGTCTCTATTTGTGTAAGATGGTAATATATTTTTCAACAAGTATTTACTGACCATCTACATTTTGTTTATTCTTTATTTGCAAATCTTGCTCAGTATTGATGGAAGGCCTGCTCTTCAGCAGATGCCCTCCTAGGGGGTGGGGCTCCAGGCCTCATTCTCAGGGGAGTCCCCACTGAGCGAGCCCGTGGGAGGGCAGGGGAAGCGCACATAGCAAGCAGCCATCCCACCCACAGCTCAGGGCTCCTTTGTCAGTAGCTCCTTTGATGCTGCTGGGGCTTCCCATTCAGGACCCCCTCCCCTCATGCAAAGAGCAGCAACTTGTGATCACATCCAGGAGCTTGACCCTTTAATTAGAGAGCCAGGAACAGCAGTCAGCTGGGGTCAGGCCAGCAGCATGGAAAACAGCCAGCAGGGATGCCTGGGGCCCCACCTCCCCAAACCCCTCGCAGATGCTCATGGACGCTCCCTGGGTGTCGTGACCTTTGAGTCCCCAGCACCCCTTTGCTGTTCCCAGGGTTCCTCCTCTCTGACCCCATTATGGCTGAGGAGCAAGCTCATTTTCCTAGCTATTTGTATCATCTCTAAAGATCAGTAACCCCATTTGCCAAGTCTCCCATGGGGCAAAGATCTCCGGACCATAGCCATGGCTCAGGTACCTCAGTACACCCAGTGCTGAGCTGCTTCTGTAACTCTGACTGGTGAGGATGACCTGGGGAGCTGGTGACAGCACAGGGACCTGGGGCGGCTTTCAGACTCCCATGGAGATGGAGCCCTGGACAGGTGCTGGGGCCAAATGGGACTGTGACTGCACACCTCAGCCTGCTCTGTTCTTGAAAACCATGTTGCTGGGTTTGATGACAGCATGCTTGTGTCTCATGGGTGGGGCTTGAACTGTCATCTCTGGGCATTTGTTTTTTTTCTCTGCCTCTGGCCCAACATTAGACAGACCAGAATCTCAGATATTCTACTAGGAATGAAAGAATGTTCATCTTACCCACCAGACAGGGGGTGGGGAGGGAAGGCTTACAGTAGGATGGGCTCGGCCACTCTACGTGTTGGTGCTGTGACTTTTCCAATGTGAAGATGGACCATGTGGCTGAGGCTGTTGGGTAAATATTTAGGTCAAGATTTGTTATCTGATTGCTATTGATGGACATTTCTGTAGCACACGTGTCTCCGGAGGCTGCCTCTTGCTGACATTGCTTAGAGAAAGCCAGCCATTAGCCGCCTATACCCTTACTCCTTAAAACCAGCCTCCGGCTGGAAGCCACAGGGGACTCTGCTTCTCTTTCTGTGTAGAGACGTTCTTGCATTAGCCATGGCTGCTTTCCCATCTTGTTAATTTCTTTGTATATCTTGTAAATGTAAATTGAGTAGAGGACAGTTTTGACTGAATGAAGGAAATACATCCTGATGGATTGGGTCCTATGGACTTAACACTTTGGCTAAATTAATGACAAAAAGAACAAAGGGGAAAAAGCCCGCAAGCTCCACATACTAGATGAAATTTCAACCAGCAATGGCCCAGGAGCCAAATTGAAAAGCGCCACCACGTTCGTAGGTGTTTTCAGATATTGATTTTGTGGCCTGACTTCAGCGCTGAGATTAGGGGAGCTTGCTCTTCAGATGAAAGCTTGATCATTCCGGGCACAGCAGCTATATGGATTTTCTGTTCTGCCTCTTTTTTTTTTACTTCTGAAAAATGCCATTAGATGGAATTTGGATGCCCTGGGGCCATGGCCTTTCATGTTCTGGTGAGGCACGTGGATTCCTGTGGGTCATTCCAGCATCCCGAGGAGTGGGTGGGGGGGGTGGAGCCGACAGAGTGGGCGTGGTGTGGAGGAGGCAGCCGGCCCATCCCCCATCTCTGACGTCATGGGCATCTGAGGGCAGAGTCATTGACTACAAGTCCATGATGTGCCAGGCTGGGGAGCCAGCAGCCATTCTAGGAAAATTCCATCCCCAGGGCATGAAAAGACAGCTAAAGGTCAAGTGTAACCCACCTGTGTTGAGTAACATGGTGGGTCAGGGTGGGACTTTGGAACCAGGATGTCTTGACCTGAGTCCTGAATTGGCTCCTTACCAGCTCTGTCACTTGGCATGAGTCCTACTACGGTATGGCCTCATGACTTCATCTGTCAAGTGGGGCAGTAGAGTGTACAGCTGGCAAGGGCTGAGCAATGGAATGGCTCCACTCATGTGAAACAGAGCAGGCTGGGCACAGGGCACTTGCTTGGAAAAGGTTAACTGTTGCCATCATTAGGAGCCGTCAAGGGGCTCACACACGTGATCGCAGCAGAGGCTTCTAGCAGACTGTGAGGGGGTGCTAGGGACGTCTGGATGTCAGCAACGGATGCTGACTCTGGTTCTCCTGAGCAGAAAGGCAGTTTATTGGAAGGATAAGGGGAGCACAGTGTGTCAGAGTGAGGTCATGAAAATTAGACCAAGAAACACGATATTAGGAATTACATTATATATTGGTGTGATATATTGTGTGTGTGTTGAGACTTATTTTAAGAAAATTGAATATTCATACACAGTTGTCAGAAATAATACAGAGAAATCCCCAATCCACTTCACCCAGCTTCCTCCAAAGGTGACGTCATACATGACCGTAGTATATCTCAGCCAGGAAGTCTACACGGATGGAGTCCACCCACTTTATTCAGACTTCTGGCTGTATATGCACTCATTCCTGTGCATTTAAATCACTTGTGCAGATTCATGTGACCACCAGAATCACAATCCAGAAAAGTTATATCACAAGGATTCCTCCTGTGTTTCTTCTAATCCTTTCATAGTTTTGGCTGTTACATTAAGGGCTATGAATTCTGAGCACGTTGTTGTATGTTTAACGGGGGGTGGGGATCCAAATTCATTTTTCTGCATGTGGATGTCTAGTTGTTTCAATATGACTTTTTGAAGAGACATTTCTTTCTCCATTTAATTGTATTGGCGCTCTTGTTGAAAACCAGCTGGCCACAAACCCTGGGGTTTATTTTTAGACTCTCAAGTCTAGTCTATAGATCTGTATGTCCTTCCCGATGATGGTACCACACGGTTTTGTTACTACAACTTTGTAGTTAGTTTCCACGTAGGGAGGTGCGAATCTTCCACTTTGTTCATGTTTATCAAGGTTTTTGAGAGGTGAGTCTTCTGTCTTTTCCTTTCCTCAGCCAGTCTAGGCAAAACATACTCGTCAATCTTGCTGTTGCTTTCTTTTCTTCTTTCTGGTTCACTTCATTTATTTCTGCGGATTATATTACCATTTGTTGTCATTTCCTTAATCCAGTTCTGCTTTGCTCCCATCTGCCTCTTTTGTGATGATGTTACATTTAAATATGTCATAGGCCCCAAAATACAATCACATACAACTTTATGCAATTGCTTATTAAATGAGTTATTAGGAGACAGGAGAAGAGCTATGCATTAAACTCTTTGGTAGCAACATATTAGCTGAGTTTCTGTTTGTTTCTCCTTTGTTTTTAAAAGACAGGTTTACTGGATGTATACTTCTTGGTTGACTGTTTTTACGACCAGCATTTAGAGTATGTTCTTCCATTGCCTTTGGCCTCCATGGTGTCTGATGATAAATTGCCTGTTGGTCTCATTAAGGATCTCTTTTACATGATGAGTCACTTTTATCTTGCTGCTTTAAAGATTCCTTCTTTGTCTTTTGCCAACTTGACTATGATATGTGTGGGCACGAATACTTTAGTCTAGTCATAGCTTACTGAAATTCGTAGATGTGCAGTTTGATGTTTTTCATCAAATTTGGGGTTTTTATTTATGGTTTCTTCCAACATTCTTTTGCACCTTTCTCCCCTCTCTGGCTGGGGCTGCCATTTTGTGCATTTCATGTGCTTGACGGTGTCCCGCGAGTTTCTGAGGCCATGCTCATCTCTATTCATTCTTATTTTTTCTGCTCCTCAAACTGCATCATCTCAACTGATCCATCCTCAAGTCTACATAATTTTTCTTCTGCCAGTTCAAGTTTGCCATTGAGCTCCTGCAGTGAATTTTTTATTCCAGTACTTTTAAACTCCATAATTTCTATTTTGATCTGGAAAAAATAATTTATGCTTATGGATATATTTGGGGAGACATTGGACTCATACTTTTAATTCTGTAGACATGGTGTCTCTTAGCTTTTGGGACATAATTATAACAGCTGACTTAAAATTGTCTAGAAACTTCATCTGAACTTCCCTAGGGACAATTTTTCTTGGCCACTTTGCATGTGTGTTTGTGTGTATGTGCATTAGGGTGTGTGTACATGCCATATTTCCTTTGCATGTCTCATTTTTTCCCCTCAAAATTGAACATTTAAAATTATATAAATTACAAGGCTGGGCACGATGGTCCACACCTCTAGTCCCAGCACTTTGGAAGGCTGAGGCAGGCAGATCACTTGAGGTCAGGAGTTCAAGAGCAGCCTGGCCAACATGGTGAAAGCTCGTCTCTACTAAAAATACAACAAGTAGCCTGACGTGGTGGCGCGTGCCTGTAATCCCAGCTACTGAGGTGGCTGAGGGAGGAGAATCGCTTGAACCTGGGAGGTAGAGGTTGCAGTGAGCTGAGATCATGAAACTGCACTCCAGCCTGGGTGACAGAGTGAGGGAAACTTTGTCTCAAAAAATAAATTATATAATATATGTAATTAATAGATTTAAATCATGAAGGAGTCTTTTTCTGGATGTCAGTTCCCACCCCGTCAGTGACTGCTGCTTGGGCTGTTTATTGCTGCCGTTGGTTTCCTGTTGCAGTGCCTCCCCTGGACTAATTCTGTATAGTCTGCTTTCTTTTTTGTGTGAAGACAATGAAATGTACTTGGTTAGCCTGGTGGTCAGATAATGACTGAGCAGAG